CAAAGCCAGGAGAAAGACAGCAATACTAAGAAAACTAAGTGGAACCACATGGGGAGCCGATGGGAAAATACTCAATAAAGTTTACAAGCAGAGCATACTTCCACACTTGGAATATGGGTCAACTGCATGGTGTTCAGCATCTAGTACCAAAGGAGTTGGACAAAGTGCAAAATCAAGCACTCAGAGTCATCACAGGAGGGATGAAATCAACCCCCATATTAGAAATGGAGAAAGCTGGGAAAACACAGGCACTGAGAGAACGCAGAGATACAAAGTTGCAAATACAAGCTGAAAAGTTCCTCAGTATGCCAGATCACCCGATGGAAAATAGATTTAAGAACCTAGCCTTGGGACGGTTAAAAAGAAGCAGCTTTATACACCAAGCAAAAAGAATATGTAGACAAACTCCTGACCTTCCAGAAATTGGTTGCCCACTAAAAAATATTCCGGAACAAACCCCATGGAGAGAAAAATGCAAACTAACAGTACAAATCCAGACAAATGTGAAAGGGATATTTGACAAGAAAGAGCAAGATAGTGTACAACGCAGAATGGCCACCCTCAGTTATATTGATGAAGAATACCCACAAGAACAATAGGCCAGAGTCTATACAGATGGGTCCGCAGAAAGTGCAGTAAGAAATGGTGCTTGAGTGTACATTGATTTCCCAGATGGTACTAGGGATAAGTCCAGCGTACCAACCGGAAAGTACTGCCATAACTATGAAGCAGAAACTCAAGCTATCAAGATAGCAACAGAGAAACTGCTAAATACCAATCTTGGTTCACAGTATGTGGTAATGCTGACAGATGCTAAATCAGTACTTGAAGCACTCCAGTCTAGGAAACTACCAGAATTGCAAACACTGCTGACACAACTCAGCCTTCAGCGAAGAGTCGTAATGCAGTGGATACCGTCTCATTGTGGAGTGCCTGGACATGAGAAAGCTGATCAACTGGCAGGGGAAGGTGCGACAAAAGAGCAGCCGGATGTACCAGTCACATACCACCAAAAGAAAAGAATCATTAAATCGACAGGAAACCACCAGCCCCAGCACAAGACGACTATTTTATTATGGACAGATCAGAACAAGTCATTATCCTCCGCCTCAGAACAGGGCACAACCGATTACGTAACCACATGTAAACAAAATTCAAGATAGATGTATCAGCCATGTGCACCTGTGGAAGTGTGCCCCAGACAGCAGAGCATGTACTCCAGGACTGCACCTAATTTGACACATTAAGGCAAACCTTTTGGCCAGAAAGAACAACAGTGGAACGTAAACTCTATGGACCACTGAATGAACTAACAACGACAGTGAAATTTATACAAGAGACAAAACTGCTGATATAGACAACTTATTTCAGGCGAACGAAAGAAGAAGAAAAAGACTCGTACCGGACAAGAGAGATATCATGAAGACCATATATTAACGAATGTTGACAAAAGACACTATATTAAATGAAATAACATGTACACCAATTGTCACCATTATTAAGATATCCAAGCATATCTATGAGTGCAAAGAGACAGATTATTAATAGCATATTTATTCCAACATTAAGCAGCCAGTGCCAAACATGGACTCTATCTAAAGCCTATATACGCTAAATCCCCACCTGCGAGAGGAGATGCCTGAGAAAAGCAGCCAACCTGACCATCCGAGATCTAGTGAATAATGATACTATCAGACAAATTCTGGAAACGACACCCTGTACTAGTTTTATTGAGAAACATCAGATAAAATGGTTCGGCCATCTCGTTAGAATGCAGCAAGACCAGTTACCATCACAAGCACTACATCTCAGAAGATCAGCTTCAAGAGCAAGAGGATGGCCGTGGAAAAAATGAATCGACAACATTAAAGACACACTACGCCTTCACGGCATGACAATAGCCAGTGACAGCCAGCGTCCAGTGGATCGCAAACTAGCCCTCCCCACTGCGCTTAACGGCAGAAGTGGTTTATGATGATGATGATGAACATGTGTAAAGAATGCGTGAACGAGGAATTAGGAGTGGATCTGGCAAGGAGGGACGTATGAGAGGAAAAGAACGACGTGTGTATAATCAGTGTGCTGACAGTTAGCATATACAGATAAAGACATCTGCTGCTGGAGATAAAGCATGTATTAGTATGCCCGTTGTGGTATAATGCCGATTCTTATAAATATCATTCATTCATTCATTTAGTAGCATGTCCCTCGCGGAACCTCGCTGTCATAACAACCCTCCGGAAAACCTTCCTATCGTGAGCAAGATGTCCTGCGTCTGATACACCCATCTGGAGACCATCTGCCACATCCTGCACCCATCTTCTCCTTGGCCTTCCTCTTCCTCTCTTCCCAGGCATATACCCCTCCATTATTGTTCTCTCTAGACTTCCATGACGTTTCAAGTGACCAAAATATTTCAATTTTCTTTGTTTTATTGTCTTTACTAGCCAATCCTCCTCAATATTCAGCTCTTGAAGTATGGATGCATTTGTTCTTTTCTTTACCCAAGATATTTTTAGAACCTGTCTGTAACATTTATATTCAAATGCATTTATGCGCTGTTCCGCTTGTTTAGTAAGTGTCCAGGTCTCACAGGCGTATGTTGCAATGGGAAAGATGCATGCTCTTAAAAATCTGACCTTTGTAATTCTATCTGTACAATTCCATAATTTATTCAGTTGTTTTAGTCTTTGAAGAGCAATTGATAGTCGCCGTTTAATTTCTTTCATTGTGTCACCATTGTTGGTAACCAGTGACCCAAGATATTCGAAATTTTCCACCACTTCCAATCTTTCCTTATTAACATATATTTCCTTCTCCATGGCAGTTTTGTTTGTATGCATTATCTTTGTTTTTGCTATGTTAAGAAATAAGTTATGATTTTCACTATTTCTTTGGAGTGAGGTTAATAAGTTTTCTAAACCACTTTGTGATGTTGATAGTAATACTGTATCATCAGCATAACGAATTTCTGGTATTTCATGACCACCGATGTTTAGGGTATCATATTGTTCCTTGTTTATATCATCTCTTACATTTCTCATTATATTTTCGGCGTACATATTGAACAAATACGGTGACAGCACACATCCCTGACGGACTCCTTGCTTGATGCCAAACCAGTCTGATGTCTCTCCATCTATTCTGACTGCTGCTTGCTGATCTTGATAGAGCATTTTAATGAGCTGCACTATAAGTGATGGAAAGCCAATATTCCTCATGATTTCCCAAAGCTTCTGATGTTGTACACAGTCAAATGCCTTTGAATAATCTACAAAACATAAGAACAGATTTACATTAAATTCTCTACACTTCTCTATTATTAAACGCATGTTGAATATATGATCTCTTGTACCTCTTCCCTGTCTAAATCCAGCCTGAGCTACATTAATCTCTTCTTCCATTTTCTTATGCAGTCTTCTCATTATAATTTTTAGCAGAATTTTGCTTGCATGACTGATCAGGGCAATAGTTCGATAGTTTGTACATAATTTCAGGTCACCCTTTTTTGGTATTGGAATGAAGATAGTTCTCTTCCAGTCTTTTGGCCAAATACCATATTTCCATATCTTTTCACACAATGCATGATAGATTTTTATGCTTTCTTCTCCTCCCGCTTTAATCAATTCAGCTGGTATCTCATCACATCCAGGTGATTTACCATTTTTCAGGCTCCTTATTGCCCATGAAATTTAATCTAATGAAGGTTCAGGTTCTGCCTCTACTGTTACTGGTTCATGTATATCATTCATATCCTCACTGTCATTCATATCATACATTCCGCTGCAGTATTCCTGCCATCTTCCTAGAATTTGTCTAGATTCTGTTAAAGTATTTCCCAACTTGTCACAAATAACATTTAACTGAGGTTGAAAATTTCTTGTCAATAACTTCATTTCCTTGAACATTTCGTAATCTCTTCCATTTTTATGATGCTGCTCTATTTTAATACAGCAATCTTGTACTTACTGATTTTTATCCTTTCTTGTGTACTTTCTTATTTCTCGTGTTAATAATTTATACTTCATCCTACTGTCATTGGTTTCTCCTTTCTTTTTCAGTTCCCTTCGTTGTTTTATTAGTTCTAACGTGTATGGTGTGATCCATGGTTTATGTTGCTTAGTCCTGGTGGGTATTAAGTCTTTAGCTGCTGTTATCAAGATATCCCTAGCATGTACCGCCAGTTCATCAGGTGTCATTTCCTCTTGTACAGACATCAAGACCTCAAAACGGTTCTTCACTTCTACGTTGTATGCATCTGGTATTTTTGTGAGATCAAATCGAAAAGGCCTTGGTCCTCGGGTAAGCTTTTTGAGTTTTAATTTCAGATCTGCTTCTAGTAACTGATGATCTGTATCGCAATCTGCACTTCGCAGGGTTTTTGCAGATGTTATGCTCGATCTCCATCTTCTTTGTATTAAAATGTAATCTATCTGATTTTTGGTAACACCGTCAGGGGATGTCCATGTGAAAAGCCTTCTAGGGTGTGGTTTATAAAGTGTGTTAGCTATTGTTAATTCATTTTCTATGCAAAATTCAATCAATTTTTCTCCTGTTTCATTTCTATTACCCAATCCAAATTTTCTTAAAACGTGTCTCTCATTTTCAGCTCTGCCTGTACCTACTTTCGCATTAAAATCTCCCATTATTATTATTATATCATTCTGATTAATTTTATTTAATGTGTCTTGCAATATGGCATAAAAATCTTCAATTTCGCCCTCCTCTGCTGTTGAAGTTGGTGCATATACATGCATGAAAGTTATGTTTTTAATTCTTATATCGGTGATCAGTAAATCCTACTACACCGTCTGTCTGCATCAAGTCGCTACTTCCGGTTTTTAACTAAGGGCAATTTGGAAACGAAAGTTTGGGCTGTGCTTTCTTTCGAGATACTAATCATTTAGTGATAGTTTGCCTATACTAAAAAGATATTTACGCTAATAAGACGGAACGTATTTAAATAAAGGAAACACTGATACATTCTGCAAACAGATGTGATGTCGACGAAACAAATTTTAAGACGTTACTTTCCCGTTTTCAAGAAGACATTTTCTTCGACGAGGACGTACCGAGACATCTGCACACACAGACACGCTAAAGCTTCCTTTAAAATATATCATCACAGATTGCTGCTTTTACGCGAATCAGCAGTTTCAGGAACTTTTGCAAATTTATCGCTGCAGTCAGCAAATACTAAGTGCCACCGACGGCTCAGTAATTCATGCCGGTGTGGAACATCGCACTCGAGTAATGTTGATATTAGTGGCGACTTGAAAAAATACACAGGACCTGAAGTAAAACAAACACAAGAAGCAGACCCTGAGTTGGTGTCGCTTAAACAAGAGGTAAAAGAAGATGATTCTCGAAAGCTGAACAGTGAAACAGTCGATGAAGAAGATCAGAAGCATACACGGATAGCAGCAGATACTAGTCAGCTAGAGAGAAAGTTTAATGGTTTAGGCATAGGTGTGAACAAAAGGGACACAGAATTTGAGTACGACTATCAGGTGGCTGAAGATATTGAGGAGTATGATTACATTGATGAGAAAAGCCACATGGAGCAGCAGATCCAACCTGAGAAGGTTCTACCCATCAGCTTGAAGAGTGAGATATATTTTATATTATTGTTAATTCATATCTATAACTTATAATTTTTTTTGTGGCTATCCTTCGAATAAAATAACGATCCCAAATTATCAAGGCTAAGAAAATAATATGTAAATTGCTGACTTCTTTCCAGCGAATCTACAGCATACAGTGGGAATTACTCCTCCGAATAATGGTTCCAAATCATTGAGGGTGTCAGTAGCTCCATCACTGAGTGCTAGGTTTAACTTCTCCCCAAGGTTCTAGGGTTAGCTTCTCCCCTGGGTCCTATGTTCAACTTCTCCCCTAGGGTTAGGGCAAGGAGCATTTCAATTACGACACCGCCACCAGAATCTGTCACAACAGTGGAACTGCGAGACTATCGATTGAAAGGTTATGGATGGAACGTATGTGACGTTAGCACGATGGCATTAGTCGCGCGTTGTTTACTGAATAACTGTATTATTAGACGGACTCTTGCCGACATTGGACCGGTAACACTAAGAAAGTTGGAATAAGACCGTGCCTGGATTATATTGACAGACAAAGAATGAAATGTTTTAGCCATCTAGTGAGAATGCAGCCAGACCAGACTGCATATGAGACTATTTACAGTAGAATATCTGGGAGGAAGGTGAGGAAGAAAGTTATGGATAAATGATGTAGATGAAGCGCCAAGACAAATACAGAAAACCACGACACTGGGCTACAATCTGGTATCAGTGAGATAACAAAACCACTACACTGGGTTTCAACCTGATATCAATGAGATGACAAAGCCACGGCACTGGGTTACAACCTGGAATCAGTGAGATGACAAAACCACTACACTGGGTTACAACCTGGTATCAGTGAGATGACAAAACCACTACACTGGGTTACAACCTGGTATCAGTGAGATGACAAAACCACTACACTGGGTTACAACCTGGTATCAGTGAGATGACAAAACCACTACACTGGGTTACAACCTGGAATCAATGAGATGACAAAACCACTACACTGGGTTACAACCTGGTATCAGTGAGATGACAAAACCACTACACTGGGTTACAACCTGGTATCAGTGAGATGACAAAACCACTACACTGGGTTACAACCTGGTATCAGTGAGATAACAAAACCACTACACTGGGTTACAACCTGGTATCAGTGAGATGACAAAACCACTACACTGGGTTACAACCTGGTATCAGTGAGATGACAAAACCACTACACTGGGTTACAACCTGGTATCAGTGAGATGACAAAAGAAGTTTACCATTTTCATCTGTCTCGAGAAAAACTGCCATAATTATCATGCTCAGTGTTCATGTATTTCTCTGTGCCTCCCCTATTCTAGCTAACTTTCTTGCTCTCCATAAAGAATTGTCCAGTTCTTACTTTTGTATTCTGAACACTTTGCAGGAGGACAGAATGGCGTGTTTGACCTGCATGAATTGGTGACACTGCTAGAACATCTCGGTGCTGAGAACATCGTCACCGTTCCAGTTCCCCCAGAAGCCAACTTCTGTGATGATATGGTTGTTGTGTCTGCAAAGTCACGGCGCCATCTGCAGGCTATCAATGATGAAATGCTGTGGGTGGTATGTAGAGAGAATAACTTTGAAACCTTACTTACTTACTTACTTAGTCGCTCCTCTTCTACCTTGGGGTGTAGAGGTTTGCCAGAGAGATCGCTAGACGTCTCTATCAGCAGTTTTCTTTCTGGCTTTGTTCCATTCCAGTCCTCTGTCAGTCAGGGACTGTCGGGTGTTGTCTTCCCAGCGCACCCTGGGTCGTCCCGGAGGTCTGGTTCCCTGGTTCTTAGCCTCCCATGCTTGCCATGGTGGCCGATTTTCTCCCATTCTGCACACATGTCCAAACCATCGTAGCTGTGACTGATCCACTCGGGTTAGTAAGGGCTGGGTATCAAGATCTTGACGTATTGTCTGATTGCGGACTTTGTCCCTTCTTGTCACTTGGACCACCTTTCTCAGGTATCTCATTTCCGAGGCCTGCAGCTGGCTTCTGTGAGCTGTTGTCATTGCCCATGACTTTGAAACCTGCCTGTAAATATGTTAATGAATCATGAAATAGCACACAAATTAGCCAGAGGTGGCAGTGACATGGTGCCGTGAAATTGTGACAACCCAGCAGGAGCTAAGACATTAATAAAAACTAGTATTCAGGAAAAGCTAGCTTGGTTCTGGCATGTGGTGAGACATGATTTCATTGCAGAGACTGTACTTCAAGGAACACTGGGGGGGGGGGGGGTAGTCAGAGAAGAGGAGGGCAAAAAAACTTGGAATGGAAATATCAAGAAATGGACAGGGCTAAGTTATCATACACTTGTTGGTCAAGTGGAAGACAGAGAAAGATGGTGGTTTTTGTGTGTGCTGGTGTTTTCATCGATACATCTCCATGCCCTTAACGGGTCAAGGGTTATGTTATATTATTCAAGAAAAAATGGCAGGATACCAAATCAAGTTTCTTTCCCTGAGACTGGCCTCATCGCCTCTCTAGAGAAGGACAGTATATTATATTCAGATTAAGGATGGAGAAGAATAGACTTTACCAAAGTATAAGTTTCTCAGCATAGGTAACACACAGACGTGCCCCTGCAACTTGGCACCTGAAAATGCTGCGCATGTCCTCCAGGCCTACCAACAGAGAAGCGACTTAGTCATGACAAAGCTGTATGGTCCAGAGTAATGTGGACTGCATGATAGCTGTCATCAAGGCTACTGGCCTCCTGATATGTTTTTCTGACAGAAGGATCGAAGAAGAAGTCGAGGCAGATGTAAGGGTCTGCTTCTTGCTGTTCTGGCGGCCTCCTTGACCATAGACACATTGCGGTGTTGTAGAGTTTCTCTGGTGCTATCTTTCCATCTTGTTCTTGGTCTACCTTGTGCACGTCCTTCTCTTTTGGTAAATGCCTTGTATGGTATAGTATCACAGGGCATTCTCTCTAAGTCTTTGTATGTAATTTTTAATCAGTTCTGTGGCGACTTTTTCTCTTATGATTTCATTCCTGATTTCTATTTCCTTTGATCACTGGTGAAGCCCTTCTCAGACACCTCCATTCATTTTTAGTAACTTTAGATTATTTTGATTAATCCCTGGTTTTAACAGCCTTTAGTTTGGTTATTTGTTTGTGGAAACAAAAACAGTTAATTACAGTGGTTCTGAATAGACTGGGAATCAAAACAGGAGCTGCTGAAGGACAATTTCAAAGAAACAAGGGAAATATTGCTGAAGGCAAGTGAGCAAGAGTTGGACAGTGAAACAAATGGGAAGATAACATTAAACAGTGGGACAAACAGCAGTCTGAAAGAGTTTACATCCTATTCCAAAGGTGGAGCACAACTGTGTGAGCGGCAAGGAACCAACAGTCAGCTAACAAGTGAGCCAGATTTTTTTTAGTGGATGTGCATGGAAAATTGAGGTTCTGGAAGAAGACTGAGGCTCAGAAGTGGATAAACAACCAAAAATTTCCGCTGAAGTTTGCATCTGTAGAAAAAGAAAAAGTGTACATTTAGTACGAAACCCAGAAAGAGTTGGAGATCTGTTGTAGCTAACTTATAACATGGAGATGGAACCTGATTGATTATTGACTGCTTTTGTTTTGATATGTGGATTAATTTATTGTTTAAACAGTTTTTATTTTTTCTTTTAGCACAAAAGAAAGAAAGCCAAACGAGACCCCACTTTGGTTATAGAAGGCAAGGACAAGGCAGACTGGTGTGCCATGGACTTAGGTCAGCAAGCTTTTCAGTATTTGTTATCTTAAGAAAGTGTGTGTGGAAATGTTATTTTAGTGCCATATATTGGGAAAGCCAGAAACACTTTCTTATCCTATTTTGTGTGCGAATTGGGAAGTAGAAAACAGGGCTGTATTATATAATCAATAGCTCCCACACAATTGACTACGGGTTACTTCATAGCCATCATCATCATCTGCCGTTAAGCGTCGTGGGGAGAAAAAATTTGTGCTCCAGTGCTTTGTGCTGCCACTGGCTATTGTCATGCCATGAAGGCACATTGTCTTTAATGTTGTCGATCCATTTTTTGGCGGCCGTCCTCATGCTCTTGAAGCGCATCTTTGTAGCCATTATTTGCCCTACGATAACTTTGAGGTTGAACTAGATTTCTGGGTTTTGCATCTGTTTGATTCTCAACTGAATAGTCACTGTTTGAGTCATGGGATTGTTATTATTAGAATACAGTCCTGGAGGGGAGGGAAAAAGTGGTAATCTAAAATAATTGATTACAAAAAGAAGAAAAAAAACATTAAGTGAAAGGAAAGCCTTCATTTTGTAAGTGTCACATAGCAAGATGCATGCTGGGTTGTTCAGGACAGTCTGTGTACTTGTGGACTCACCAGGTTCTGAATTGTTTGAGCTCACACTTTTGTCTCTCCAACACCCTGATTTAGTATTATTGTCTGCTGCCATTAACCATCCTTTACTATATTGCTGTATTGTTTCCTGTCATTAAACACCCTTTATCATATTTGTATTTTGTTTCTTGCCATAAAACACCTTTTACCATATTGCTGTATTGTCTGCTGCCATTAAACACCCTTTATCATATTTGTATTTTGTTTCTTGCCATTAAACACCTTTTACCATATTGCTGTAGTGTCTGCTGCCATTAAACACCCTTTATCATATTTGTATTTTGTTTCTTGCCATTAAACACCTTTTACCATATTGCTGTATTGTCTGCTGCCATTAAACACCCTTTACTATATTGCTTTATTGTTTCCTGCAATTAAACACCCCTTATCATATTTGTATTTTGTTTCTTGCCATTAAACACCTTTTACCATATTGCTGTATTGTCTGCTGCCATTAAACACCCTTTACTATATTGCTTTATTGTTTCCTGCAATTAAACACCCCTTATCATATTTGTATTTTGTTTCTTGCCATTAAACACCTTTTACCATATTGCTGTATTGTCTGCTGCCATTAAACACCCTTTACTATATTGCTTTATTGTTTCCTGCAATTAAACACCCCTTATCATATTTGTATTTTGTTTCTTGCCATTAAACACCTTTTACCATATTGCTGTATTGTCTGCTGCCATTAACCATCCTTTACTATATTGCTGTATTGTTTCCTGTCATTAAACACCCTTTATCATATTTGTATTTTGTTTCTTGCCATTAAACACCTTTTACCATATTGCTGTATTGTCTGCTGCCATTAAACACCCTTTATCATATTTGTATTTTGTTTCTTGCCATTAAACACCTTTTACCATATTGCTGTATTGTCTGCTGCCATTAAACACCCTTTACTATATTGCTTTATTGTTTCCTGCAATTAAACACCCCTTATCATATTTGTATTTTGTTTCTTGCCATTAAACACCTTTTACCATATTGCTGTATTGTCTGCTGCCATTAAACACCATTTACTATATTGCTTTATTGTTTCCTGCAATTAAAAACCCCTTATCATATTTGTATTTTGTTTCTTGCCATTAAACACCTTTTACCATATTGCTGTATTGTCTGCTGCCATTAAACACCCTTTACTATATTGCTTTATTGTTTCCTGCAATTAAACACCCCTTATCATATTTGTATTTTGTTTCTTGCCATTAAACACCTTTTACCATATTGCTGTATTGTCTACTGCCATAAAACACCCTTTACCATATTGCTGTATTGTCTACTGCCATAAAACACCCTTTACCATATTGCTGTATTGTTTGCTGCCATAAAACACCCTTTACCATATTGCTGTATTGTCTGCTGCCATAAAACACCCTTTACCATATTGCTGTATTGTCTGCTGCCATTAAACACTTTTTACCATATTGCTGTATTGTCTGCTGCCATAAAACACCCTTTACCATATTGCTGTATTGTCTGCTGCCATTAAACACTTTTTACCATATTGCTGTATTGTCTGCTGCCATAAAACACCCTTTACCATATTGCTGTATTGTCTGCTGCCATTAAACACTTTTTACCATATTGTTGTATGTATTGTCTGCTGCAATAAAACACCCTTTACCATATTGCTGTATTGTCTCTTGTTATTAAACACCCTTTATCATACTGCTTTATTGTCTCTTGTAATTAAACACCCTTTATCATACTGCTGTATTGTCTCTTGTTATTAAACACCCTTTATCATACTGCTATATTGTCTCTTGTAATTAAACACCCTTTATCATACTGCTGTATTGTCTCTTGTAATTAAACACCCTTTATCATACTGCTATATTGTCTCTTGTAATTAAACACCCTTTATCATACTGCTATATTGTCTCTTGTAATTAAACACCCTTTATCATACTGCTGTATTGTCTCTTGTTATTAAACACCCTTTATCATACTGCTATATTGTCTCTTGTAATTAAACACCCTTTATCATACTGCTTTATTGTCTCTTGTAATTAAACACCCCTTATCATACTGCTGTATTGTCTCTTGTTATTAAACACCCCTTATCATATTGCTTTGCTGTCAAACTGGGGTATGTTCATTCAAACAGGCAACATAGTGCTCCATGTATTCTATGGTGAAACCAGAGAGTATTATGACATTGAGTCCCTGTGGTTACTAGGCCCTGACCATGACCCCAAGTGCCAGGAGCAGACTGCTGACCTTTATATCCTGTCTGCAGGTTTGTGATACTGTTGCTGTTGACATGTGCTGTTTATGCATGTCATGTCATTTCAGTTCCTTTTCCTCTGTCTTTCATCTACAAATGGAGTATGGGCTCTCAACCAACTCAAACTAAGTATGTTGGCCACAAAAATCAAAAACATTTTCAGAAAATCTACGATAAAGACAGCTGTAAGTAAAAAGCTATTTTATGCCAGTGGCACATGTGCTGAAGATAAGAGAAAATGAAAATGTGTGTGATCAGATGCATAAGAAAGGCAGTGGAAAGAATGTGAAGAGTCACCAGTGAAGAACTAAGAACAGTGGTGGGCATTGTACTGGTAAATGATTTCATAGAACATCAAAGAATGTGAAGAGTCACCAGTGAAGAACTAAGAACAGTGGTGGGTATAGTACTGGTAAATGATTTCATAGAACATCAAAGAATGTGAAGAGTCACCAGTGAAGAACTAACTAAGAACAGTGGTGGGCATTGTACTGGTAAATGATTTCATAGAACATCAAAGAATCAAATGTTTTGGTCATCTCGTCAGCACGGGACACAATCAGCCAGCAGCTAGAGCTTACTATACAGGCTATATGGCAAGAGGTCGACCAAGAAAGATATGGGTGGAGGGAATAAAAGAGACACTACAGAAATGCTGTGTGATATTAACACAAGCTATGCAATTAGCAAAAGACAGGACACGGCACACAACTCATTTCTGTGACACAGTACGGCATAAGCAGGAGGACAAAAGACAGGACACTACACATAACTAATTTCTGTGACACAGTATGGCATAAGCAGGAGGACAAAAGACAGGACACTACACATAGCTCCTCTCTGTGACACAGTACGGCATAAGCAGGAGGACAAAAGACAGGACACTACACATAACTAATTTCTGTGACACAGTACGGCATAAGCAGGAGGACAAAAGACAGGACACTACACATAACTCATTTATGTGACACAGTACGGCATAAGCAGGAGGACAAAAGACAGGACACTACACATAACTCATTTCTGTGACACAGTACGGCATAAGCAGGAGGACAAAAGACAGGACACTACACATAACTCATTTCTGTGACACAGTACGGCATAAGCAGGAGGACAAAAGACAGGACACTACACATAACTCATTTCTGTGACACAGTACGGCATAAGCAGGAGGACAAAAGAAGCAGCAGCACTTCGGGTATATGATGCTAGACTCATATTTTGATAGACCAATCAGGTGTTGACGGGTCCTGTGGTCAGCCTAACGCTGTCTGCCTTGAATTCCCAGGACATTACCTGATACCCAGATTAGGTTGGGTCAGCCTGGGAGCACTAAATTGCCCACATCTGGGGGAGACACATTCTTTGGTAGTGTCATGAGAAAGAGAAAACTGGAGTACATCGTGATGGTGGGAAAGTTGGAGGGGAAGAGAGGCGGAGGGAGGCAGAGAGAGACGATGTGGGACAGTTTGACATCATGGACTACGGAAGATCAGCTGTGTCAGAGTTGACTGAGAGTATACGTGATAGAAGGTTGTAGATAGTCATGACTACCAGCGTGACACAGCAGGGACTTTAGAAACAATCATTTGTAAAAGTAAAAAAAATAAAGTAAAGGACTCTTTTCCCTCGCCTTTAGGCATATAGGGCTAGACCTATATTTTTATATACCAATCGGCACAAGGTGGGTGATGGGATCAGCATCATGCTGGTGGCCTTACTTCCCCGGACTGCACCCGGTACCCACTCAAGGCTGGGTGATTCTCTGCTCACTTCTCAGGATTTCCCCCATATAGTGTCATTTTCTTTGTCTTATTCAAGCAGTGGTCCAGACATTTCTATCATTTTGGAAGCTTGGAAGCCAAGGCCATTTTTGAAAAAAATCCGGCTCCGCCAGGGAGCAAATCGACAACCTTCCGATCTGCAGCGAGCGTCTAGCCGCTCCGCCTCGGCGACTCCCATTTCTAAAAGAGTTGATTGATAAATCAGTATGCCAGATAAGATATTTGCCAGATGTTAGAAAGCACTGCAAATAAAGTGTGGCTTGTTGCCAAAATTTAAAGGAAAATATATTTTAAAAGATTACAAGCAATACTTTCTGTTTTTTATTAATTCTTTATTAATTTTTTGCTGAATTGATCACACAGAGGATCTGTTTTGGCTGGAAACTGGACAAGTTAAGGGTAAAGTTACCGACCAGGTTGGCAGTCCAGTCACAGACCAAGATGGCAGTCAGTCAGTCACAGATAAGTTTGGCAGTCAGACAGTCACAGGCCAAGATGGCAGTCAGACAGTCACAGACCAAGATGGCAGTCAGACAGTCACAGACCAAGGTGGCAGTCAGACAGTCACAGGCCAAGATGGCAGTCAGACAGTCACAGACCAAGATGGCAGTCAGACAGTCACAGGCCAAGATGGCCGTCAGACAGTCACAGGCCAAGTTGGCAGTCCTACACTTACAGACCAAGATGGAAGTTTTACACTTACAGACCAAGATGACAGTCCTACAGAGGGCAGTAGTAAACAGTTAAACTTGACCTCAGCTGAAGAAAGTGTGTCCAGGAAGACAGGCCGCTCAGACAACATGAGTTAAAGGTGCATGCTGAAAGGATTACCAGTTAACCAACCCCCTCCCAATGTTGGATGCAGTTTTTATTTTAAAGCCCTACTTTGGCATTTGTCGGGGGTCGTAAATATAACAGATGGGTTGAACAGGGTTTCTGGGACATGTGCCGGGGTGATTCTGATCCGAATGATGGCACTTTATGTCACCGGGTGTTTATCATACATTGTGCGGTTGAATATAGGTTAGTCATTAACAGTCTTGTGATAGATTAAATACAGCTATTTAATGAAGATCTAAATTATCGAGAAATTAGAACAAGCAGTCAAGAGCTATAGTTGAGTCATTGGATACATGAGAAATGTATTAGTCAGTGAAAGAAGTGTGCATGTAAGAGTAGAGTGTTGACTGCTCCTGTGGTGAAATAAATTTGTAAACTCAGCTGCTGTCTGTTTTCATTGTCATATCTGCGTTCTCATTGTCATATCTGCATTGTCATGTCTGCGTTCGCATTGTCATGTATGCGTTCTCGTTGTCATGTCTGCATTCTCATTGTCATGTCTGCGTTTTCATTGTCATATCTGCATTATCATCGTCATGTCTGCATTATCATTGTCATTTCTGCGTTCTCATTGTCATGTCTGCGTTATCATCGTCATGTCTGCGTTCTCATTGTCATATCTGCATTATCATCGTCATGTCTGCATTCTCATTGTCATATCTGCATTATCATCGTCATGTCTGCATTATCATTGTCATTTCTGCGTTCTCATTGTCATGTCTGCGTTATCATCGTCATGTCTGCGTTCTCATTGTCATATCTGCATTCTCATCGTCATGTCTGCATTCTCATTGTCATGTCTGCATGATATTTACAGAACAGTCTTAGTGTCCTACACAATCTGACAGTTAAGTAAGAAGACAAAAATATCATCCATGAAGGAAAGCATGTCATCCCAGTAGGGACCATTCATCTGTGATGTGATAAAATGTAACAATCAATGCGGGCCAGACTTCACCATCCTTATGAGGAAAGTTAATTAATCAAGGTTCCAGCTTCACTGCAGAAATGTCTCTCCATAATTGCTTAATTCTTTTGCCAGTGGAAATTACACAACAGTGTCCTCAACTGTCCCTACCACCTGACCCAGCAAAATCTTGAAGCTTGACCACAAAACTAAAAGCATAAGGCAGTCGTCAGATGTACCAACACTGTCTGCCACCCAGAGTTGCAGCTCGCTGTTGATGCAAGCAGTGAGTCATAAAAGCCCTATGTGTACTTGCAATGCTGCAAAAATACACGCCAATTTAAACGTAAACAGCCGTCACCACTTTTAGTGCCTGTCTCAACACGTGTGGATAGATAACATACTTAATTGTACTTAAATGAACTTTTTTTTTTTTTAGTATCCAGAAGCCATGAGTTGTAAACCCTTAGGCTTGGTATTATGGATATGGCAACCCTTCGGCCTTGATTCCATGATAAATACCGTAAATCTGGGAGAAATTTGGCTTTTTCCGCCTACCCCTGGGCGTGAACCTGGACAAGGAGTTTTTCACCCGGTCACCGCGCAATCCGGTTTAGCCAACTACGCTAGCGAGCCGGGCAACTTAAACCTATAAATTATCTGCATATCTTTTTCAGGACTTCTTGTATCAACTCAGCAAGTATTGACTGTTATGTTCGTTTTACTAGGCTGCTGAAGATGAGGACTGAGCATGCATGGGGAATGCCCAGAGTGCTGTGATGTCAATTCTTGACTCAACTCAACTAGGCATTTTGTATTCAGCAGTTTGCAGCTTGAGCCATTAAAGATATATTGGCTATGAAAGCACATAGGGCTGGATCAGTGGGGCCAAAGAGAGAAATACGTTGAGGGTGCCATGATGAGAGCGACGTTCTGTAAAGGACCTGCTGGTTAACGAGTTTGCAACTGCTTTCTAAATGATATGATGCTGTTAACTTTGTTAAAATCAACTTAAGAGTGGTCGGCCTTTAAATCTTTGGCGGCTGACGTTGAACCTCAATGAGTTTGAATTGTGAGACTGTCCACAACCCTTAATCCACAGTCACTCTCATAGAGGATAAAATAGAATTCTGCATGGTCTTCACACACACACCTAAGTTGGCCACAGTGCACCGGCTGCGGTCTTTAGAAATATTGTGTTAGTCTTTCCTCTTGTGTCGAGTGCGGCACATAGGGCAGAGGTCATGACTCTCCGTGCATGGCGGTTCGTTGCAATCTGTTGTAGGTCTTGGATGTTTGAGTGGCCCATGAGTGAGCCTTCCCTGATGATAGTTCTTCGTAGGGTTTCCCTTGGTCTTCCACGAGATCTTTTCCCCTGTGGTGTCCAAATGAGGGCTTGGTAAGGAAGTCTTGATTTATCCATTCTAAGGGTGTGGCCAACATAGAAAATATTGTGTGGTTCAGGAATATTTTATGGTTTTGTAATATTGTGTGGTTTAGGAATATTGTGTTGTGAAACCCGTCTTTTCCACAAAAGATAAGATCTTTTCCTTAGCACTCACCAGCTGAAAACTCTGGTTTTAATTTCTGGCTGTTCGTCTACTCCTAAACTTTGGTCTTGACTCAGACCTTGAGTTTTGCTTGCACATCAGTTTTACATATGTGGCTTATTTGTATGTCGACTCTTGGTTACTTGCCACTTAGCCTGATGGAAATAGCCCTAATTAGGCACCTTCTATGTCATGCTTGGTAGAGAGGCAGATGGTTTATTCTTCATTCTCCAGAATGGACTCCCGAAATCCACACAGAGAACAGATCAGAATAGATTTAATAAGATGTGATAAATCAGCACGCAGGAAAGGTTTTGACTTTCATCATCATCATCCTTGTGTCAGTGTACATCACATACAGATTGTAGTCTAGCCCCTTTTTTTTAGTACTATCCTGTTTAACCCTTTTGATATGCATGAGATATTCCGGCACTTTTAGTCTCTGTCAGCAACATTCATCCTAGGGTTTCTTTTCTCTTGGACATCCTTTTGGCTTTGACTTTGCGGTACATCGAATGCTAAGACAGTTCAAATGTCATGTATTTTTCTTCTGCTTTGTGTTCACTGGCTGTAAACTCTGGTAGAAAGTTCTGGTTATTTGTCCAGCTCTGGACTTTGCTCATGTTCCAGAACAGTTCTGTTTGCACATCCATTTTGTTTAATGCAAATTGTTGGTTCCTCGCTCTAAGGCAGATGCACTCTTGACTTTGAAGGAAATGCCTCTAAATAGAGGCCGTTTACCACATGTCTGTTGGGGGTGGGGGGCAGTGGGTCTATTCTTTTGCCCCCAGAAGGAGGCCCTGGAACCCACATGGGGCAGGTCATGTTTGGAAATTTCCCAACTGTAGGAAGCCTCAAACTCTTGTCCTTGACATCACAGAATTGGAACCACTTGATTTAACAACACAAACATAAATATGTCGGAAATACAGAAAACACACAAGAAGACATATTATATTACAACTGTTGAATTGTATTTTCTGTAAGAAATAATTGTTATAGTTGATCATTGTAAGGGAGGCACTGTGTGAATCATACTGTGCTGCCAGAGACATGGTAAGCATCAGGTATAGAACTGGGCAGTTTAAAACAAATAACAGTAGACGTGAGGCTAAAATGTAAAAAAAAAAAAAACATTGTGACCAACAACAACATAAAGACTGAATATAAAAATATTGTCTCAAATTTTTGGGATGCAGTTTTTGCTCTTAGACTTCAGTCCATTTTTTTTTCTCCTATTCTCCAGATGGAAAAGTTGCAGTCTTTCTTTTCAAGATGCCCCTCTTGATCTTCAAGACAGATTAGGTCTTGGTCAGCTGTCTGATCCTGGCATAAAGGCATTTATCTCTTAGTGTGTCTTTAATTCCATTTCTTAAATTTATAGTTTATGTAATTATATCTCTTCCATCTGGAGATTAGAAGAAAAAAAGGAACTATATATATATTTCAGCTGAAAGGTGCATATTACCCTCATTTATATCCCAAATGTAAACAGATAAAGAACAATAGTTTTGTGGGGAGGGGGGTGAAGAGTACGCCAAACTAGGCTAATAAATGACAACTGAATGATACTGTTAGCAGAAGAGACTGAACTTGGAATGCTGAAAAAAGCACCAAATATTTGTGTTGCTGGAAAGTGAAGACTCAGTGGAAATGAAATGTCATTGGTAACTCTTCAAATATCGTAATTTAAAAGTTGCAAAAAAGTAATTTAAAATCATATTACATTATGTTTTGTTTCAAAATGCACACACAAATTGTGCAGCATGCTTTCCAATAAATATGAAATTATACAGGCTGTTCTAAATGAAACATATATTAAAATTCATTATAAAAGTTCTGTGACAATGTACAACATGTTAATATCCCCTCTCTAAACACATACCCCTATTTACACATCTCCTCCACACAGAACAATAATGTGCTGACAAACTGCTATTATGGGATGAATATGTAGGAGAAATGTTAGACATCAGTAAGTACCAGTAGTGAAGAACTACACTGTGACTGCCCACATACGCATCTGTCAATAAGAAATGTATATTCTGTAACAAAATCCAAGCAGGCAGACAAACACTACCCAAAAAAAGTACAAGTCTGTTCTTTGAAAAGTGGTCTACATGTTCATATAACTAGCCAGATTCTTGTAGAATACTCAGACCAAACATAACATATAAAACATCATTTGTCTGATACTGTGAGACAACAGCTGACCAAATATGGTGGTATGTTGCTCAGAGTAGAAGAATTTTGGCATTATTTACTGGAAGAGGAGTGGCTAAGAACAAATAAGAAAAATATCTAAATCAAAGGTCATATATCTGCACAAAGCAAGCATCAGTTCTTAAACCATACATAATAAGATCAAGAGTAAAGCTGTAATGTCTTCATTTAGTTACGCCAACTGACAATTTCAGTCAAATACAGGAAGACTCCATGAGCATATAATCTGAATAATTAATCAGAAAGAAATGTCCGCTAGGCCTGAATCTACAAACTGCCTTTCTTTAAC